GCACTCTAGGAGGCCAAGGTCAGTGGACAACTTGGAGGTTGCTATGAGCTGTAATGCCATGGCACTCTACCCAGGGGGACAGCTTGAGGCTCTGTCTCAAAAAAAAAAAAAAAAAACCAATGCATAGGGTTGGGCACTGTGGCTCATTCCTATAATTATAGCACTCTGGGAGGCCCCAAGGTGGGCAACTGCCTAAATTCAGGAGTTGGAGACCAGCCTTAGCAAGAGCAAAACCACATCTCTAAAAGTACTGAAGCATTGTGGTGGTCGCCTGTAGTCCCAGCTACTCGGTAAGCTGAGGCAAAAGAATCACTTGAGCCGAGGAGTCTAAGGTTGCTGTGAGCTATGACATCACAGCACTCTACTGGAGTGACAAACTGAGACTCTGTCTCAAGGAAAAAAAACCAATGCATAGGCGGAGTGCCATGGTTTATGCCTGTAATCCTAGCACTCTGGGAGACCCAAGCGGGTGGTTTGCTTGAGCTCTGGAGTTAGAGACCAGCCTGAGCAAGAGCAAGACCCTATCTCTACTACAAATAAGAAAATCAGCCAGCGGGCAGATGCCTGTAGTCTTGGCTACTTGGGAGGCAAGAGAAGCTCTTGAGCCCAAGAGTTTGAGGTTGCTGTAAGCTTGATGCCACAGCAGCACTCTACCCAGCGAGACAAAGTAAAACTCTGTCTCAAAAAATAAAATAGGCTCGGCGCCTGTGGCTCAAGCGGCTAAGGCGCCAGCCATGTACACCTAAGGTGGCAGGTTCGAATCCCCAGCCCGGGCCCACCAAACAACAATGACGGCTGCAACCAAAAAATATCCAGGTGCTGTGGCGGGCGCCTGTGGTCCCAGCTGCTTGGGAGGCTGAGGCAGGAGACTCGCTTGAGCCCAGAAGTTGGAGGTTGCTGTGAGCGTGATGCCATGGCACTCTACCCACTGACCTCCTCTGCCAAAATATTTGAGAAGTCACCTCACCCACCACAGGAGGAAGAAGCAGGAAAGAAGAGAGAGAGAGGCCACCCAAAATTAGT